CCCCCCCCCTTCGGGGGGCGGCGCCACTTCGTTAAAATATAACCATACCCAAACCATGTCTGAGGTGTAGAGTGGATCTCGCTTGCTCGGTCAGTCTGCGCCGCGAGAAGAATTAAGCGTGCGCGCGCGCACGCGCGTGTGTGTGTGTTCAATCCGTACCGACCGTTGCGGGAGGGGGCAGGTGTGACCTTGTAAATGAAAATGGTAGTTTGTTTATGATTTTAAAGGTAGCTACACAGGCATTTTAATAAAAATTACTAAGAAAAAGTATTAAAATGTTTAGTTTTCAATTTGTTATATCTCCTAAACCAATGCCGTCCCCCACTTGATTCTTGCGGGGAATTACTCAGAAAACTCTACCCTAGCATATCTAAGTGGCGAGGAAATCGGTGAGGTGTGACCTTTTCTGCATATTTACCGGATTCTCTCTCATAATAACAACAAAAGTAAGTATACGAACGTGCAATGTGTTTTAATTCTCTTACGTTCAGCATAGCTAATCTTAAGTGTCGAGGTGCTCTTCCTCTTCCTTCTCTCGTTCACTCAAGCGAGCGCTCCGACGTTCTAGATTTGCAATGCCGAACGCAGCTCTTGTCCGACACAAAAAATTTATCTATGTATATTACAGGGTGTTATGGATATGGTGGAACTAATCTCAACAATGACAAAAGTGACGAACACAAAATGGTCTCCGTGATCTCCGTGAATGAGAACGCCGATCCTAGCCACAACTCTAGCGAGTTACCAGTTAACGGGCATAGTGTTTAGTGTTTATTTATATTATATATATATATATATTCACGATATATTATGAATTAAAGATACACGAAATCTTTGATCACTATTAATTATATCACTATCACTATGTCTGTGAGTTTTTACGAACAGTCTAAAATAGTTTTATATCGCAAATACGGAAATTACAGACATATTCTTCTACTGCATACATGCAGCATTTTTTACATTTTAATACAATAAGAAAAATAAATAATAGAAACATAAATATTAAAATACAAGTATTATTCCAACTATCATAGATGGGATAAGGATTTCTTTAAACAATAAATTATTCGCTTTCTAGGCATTTGAAGACGATACGTTGGAATCACAAGTTGTGGTGGACCAAGTACATTCTGCTTTCAGTGCAGACAGTTCTAAATCTACACATCCCATGAGTCATGATGTAACTACTTCTCGTGAAATTCACAGCATATTTGACACAATTAATTATGCTAAAGCTGCTAGCGTATTGAGAATGGTCGAAAAAGTATTTGGAACTGAAATATTCAATGATGCATTAAGTCAGGGGTGGGCAAAATGATGCCCGCGGGCATGCCCCCACTCCAATCATCGCCCCACCACGTCTACAATCATATTCGGAACTATACTTCTAAAGCGCGACGTTCTTTCCCACTTGCCGAAACTGTCTCCCCACTATTGCCCGACACGCACAGCTATTGCCCGCGGGCAAACGGGCGCCCGCGGGCAGTGAAAACTGCCCACCCCTGCATTAAGTGACTATCTTAAACAAAAGTATGTAATATTTTGAGACTACAAATAATTATTTTATTAATTTAACGAATGCAGTTGCTCTGATGTTAATTCATAATTATCAAAAGTTTATTTAATTAAATATTATTCAAATAAATATATACATATATTAATTTATTTAAATTACAAAGATATTTATATAAAAGTTGCAAAATGTAAGTAAAATGTACGATACACATGTACGTATACAATATACATATATGTATAACTATTTACATAATTATATTAATTTCCGAATTAAAATATTTATAATAGTAAACAGAACTTTAAATTAATCGAACTAGTCTTAATAATAAAATTGTGTCAAAAGAAAAATTGATGATTGATGATGCACGTAAGTGCAAGAGAAAGAATAAAAATTAAAGTATATCTGTATAAATAACATAACCTTATACAAAGTATATCTATGTATAAAGTATATAAATATCTATAGCAGATTTTAATGAGACGAGGAACATTATTCTAATGTTTAAGATATTACCTAACACCTTTAAAATTTATTTTGTAAATAAGCACATGTTTTAAGAAGAAAAAATAATTTCTTATTTCATTTTTTAGAAGTTACAGCGTTGCCGAGCCAAAAGATTTGTACGCCTCATTTCAACTAAAACTAGATGAGAAAGGACTAAAAGACGATATCACAGTCATCTTACAATTAGACACGTGGACAACTCAACCCGGTTATCCTGTCGTTAATGTCGATGTTAAAAAATGTCCTATAATTTTGGTACAAAAACGTTTCTTCCTTAAAGAACATGACAATAACTCTGATAAAACTCTGTGGCACATCCCAATTACATGGGCATCAGTGCAGAATAGTTCAGATTACTCTGATACCACTACAAAATTATGGTTAACAAAGAACATGGAAAAAATAGAAAAGTCATCAGACTCACTTTTACTATTCAACACCCAACAATCAGGTGACTGGACAAAGCAAATTAGAAATTGGCACTCATCGAAAAGAATGATAAATTTAATGAGCAAAATTTAGAAATTTAACAACTTTTATCGACTTGTATCTGCGTTATTCGATGATATTCGCTATTTTAAGATATTTGCATTTACAAATGTACAATTTGTTTTCAGGTTACTATCGCGTTAATTATAACAAAAAGCATTGGATGGAGTTGATTGATTATCTTAACAACCAAGATTTTCAAACAATTCACGAAATTAATCGCGCAGCATTAATTGATGATCTTATGAATCTTGCAAGAGCAGATTACATCGATTACAAAACTGTTATATCTGCTACAATGTATTTGAAGAAAGAAAATAATTATTTCCCTTGGCGTGCATTCTTCAATAATCTGCCTTACTTGAACAACCGTTTTGTAGGACGTGAAATTGAACACTTATATAAAGTATGTACGTTACACTTGTATAAATATGAGTGTGTGTGTGTGTGTATATATATACATGTATATATATATAATGTTAATACATTCTATATAAATTTAAAAAATTTTCTCTCGAACTATTTCTCTGATTTTATTACTAAAGTACACATATGTATGTATGTATGTATCTTTATTCCCTTGCGGGGTACATTGCGGACCTCCGCTCCGCTTACATATTTATCCGTTTTTTTCCGCTTTTTCGCACGCTCGCGAGAGAGAGAAACGCACTCAATCATTCTTTCATCCACTCATTCATTCATACCTGGGACCTCCGTTTCCGCCGCCTTCTTCACTCTCACTCTTCTCACACTCCTCCCCCTCCCCTACTATTCCCACCCCTCTCCATTCTTCTATTTTCCTCATCCATTCCTCACCTCCTCCCTCTTCTCCTAG